GTGATGCAGGAGAAGGGGTGTGACATGATTACCAGCAGTGTCATATGAAAACAAAGGAAATACAACAGGCATATCAGGAGGCCAACAGTCAATCCAGTGCCAAGAGGCAGACCTGCTGCTTTTACAAAGAGCTGCGTGCCGGAGACCTCACTGTCACCCTGCACACCACTGTGGATACCTACGAGGAGCCGTGTCGCATGCCCCTTGTGTGAACAGCAAGGAGAGAAAAGGAGGAGGATGGAGGACATGAAAGCAGGGGATCTAGTTATGCCATGAGTCATGGCTTGTATGAGACTCCACTGCAGTCCTGGCATGGGCAAGCTTCGTTCCTCTGATAAATATGTAAATTTATTTTCCATTATAGTGACTGTGCCTCCAACTTAGCAGGACACAGCTATTGCCTTTTCACTAATTTACTTGTACCAGAAAGTGTAGCAGTACACAGAGAAGTAGCATTATCTGCTTTTCATTCCCCTGTACAGTTAGGCAGGGGAAGCCATGCAGATCAGATTCTTTAGGTACATCGAGCTGTCCCTTGAATCCTTCTGAGAGAGTTCAATAAAACATTTATGGAAGTACTTAGCAATCCTCTCCCGAATGTTTCTAGGGATGGCAGCCTTCTTGCTTCCTCCTCAGTAGGAGGTTTTCCCACGCCACTCAGAGATAATGTCAGCAGGCACCATTGCAGTAAACAGTCAGGACACCAGAAGCAGCTGTGCTGTCTGCTTGTGGTCCCCAGAGGAGCGAGAGATCAGCTAGAACCACCACCTGTGGAAAAGGTGCCAGGATTCAGTGCCACTGCCCTGTCCTCATAGTTCCATCGTTTCCTGCAGGCCATGCTTGCCATGGCTGGAGCTGGGAGTGACGCCACGCACAAGCGCTCTGAGCAGAAGTGTCAATCGGCATGTCTTGCTGAAACCTTTAGGGGGCCAGGGAAGAGAGTTCTGAACCTTAATTTTCACTTTCGGTTGTGACTACACCGACAACGGTACCTCTGGGTTTTAGCTGCAGCTGCTGCCATTGCAGCCTTGAGAGGTTCCCCCTCCCCGCCGACTGACCATCTGAGCTAAATAAAGAGAAGAAAGGGTACAAGGGATGACCTGTTCAGTGAGATCCTGCAAGCCAGTGCGGCATCAGACTATGCACAGAGGGTGGATAGTGCAGATTGTGTGGAGAAGGAAAGAGTAGAAAGGGGAGAGACCCAGGAGTCCCAGCAGGAAAAGGAGAGAGAGATGCACCGGGACCTAATGAGGCTTTTCCAGCAGCAAAGGCAGATGCTGCAGACTCTTGTGGACCTCCCTTTGCAATCCATGGAGAACTCCAGTATAACACTTCCCTACACCCTTCCCCCTACTATCCCACATGGCACCAGGGAACTACATCTCTACCACAACCACTCCACCGCAGAGGACATCAAGGACAACCACAACTTCACATACACGCATGTGCATGTGCTAAAATGGACACGAATGTTCCTTCCCCTCTAAGGTCTGTTCCATACATTAATTAAGGTTTTAAAGTATTTGCTCTTAAGTTGCACAGAATTTTTTTAAGTGTTTGTTACTCATAAAGCTCTGTTTCATCTTTATTAGTTCCCAACATATGCTGCAGAATGGGTAGCGGGGTACTGAAGCATCCACTTACTGATGACTATATGCTTTGACACAGCTCACAGGATCAGTGACAAATAGGGTAATCATAAATGTATAGCAAGCACCACAAACGTAATAGGTGCATTGTCTGTATTGTACTGATAGATGGGCACCAAGCACTGCACAATTCCTAATGGGCCCCCAAACTGCCAGGCAGGTGGAGCACAGTTAGCCACAACACATTACTGTGCCTTACTGTCAAAGTGCTGTTTCAAAGCCGCCTTGAGCCGTTGAGCTTTTCTAATAGCCCTTCTATTTGGCTGTTCAAACTTAGCTCCACCTCCACCCCAGCAGCAACGTTTCTGCCTTTGCCTCTCACATTCTGCAGGACCCAGCAGGAAGCTGTAACAGTGAGGTATTTTTCTCACTGAGATCCATTCTCATGGAGTAAACAATGTCATCGTCCCTTCAATCTACCAAAAGCACATTCAGCTCTCAGTCTTCACCTGGTAGTTGAATCTTTTCTTAGTACTGTCAAGATGGCAGGTTTTGTGAGCCAGGGGAGTAAGGGGTTGGCTAGGTCCCCTAGGCTCACTATTGGCATTTCAACATAACCAATGGTAATCTGAGGTCAGAAAAGAAAGTCCCTGTTTGTAGCTTTCTGAACCAGTCCTGCGTCCTTAAAGATTCAAGCATCATGCATCCTCTGAGCCACCAATGTTGATGTCAGTGAAGCGTCCCTGGTGATCCGCCAGCGCTTATGCAACCATAGAGAAGTAGCCCTTTCTGTTAATCTACTCCATGGCGAGGTGCTCTGGTGCCAAAATAGGGATAGATGTGCCATCTATCGCTCTGCTGCTGTTCAGGAACCCCATAGCTGCAAATCTGTCCATTATGTCTTCTACATTGCTCAGAATCACAGTCCTGTGCAGCAGGAGACGATTAATGACCTTGCATGACAGCAGCCCCACAGTAGATTTTCCTACTCCAAAATAATTTCCCACTGATTGGTAACAATCCAGCATTGCAAGTTTCCACAGTGCAATTGCCACTCGCTTCTCCACTCTCAGTGCAGCTCTTATTCTGGAGTCCCTGCTCGGGAACGTTGGGGTGAGCTTAGCACACAGATCCAGGCATGTGGCCTTTTGCATCTGAAAGCTCTGCATCTGCTGCTCCTCATCCCAAACCTGCATTATGATGTGATCCCACCAGTCTGTGCTTATTTCTCAGGCCCAGAAGCAGCATCCCACCCGCCTTTTAGCTGTTCCATGAACACCACCAACAATCTAAGTGGTTCTTGCCATGTCCCATGGCAATCTGACTCCAGAAAATCTTCACGTTCCCCATAGCTCTTGCAGCGCTGCAAATACCAGAGGATCATCATGCATCCTGTGCTTGCAGTGCTCATGACAGTAGTGCAGAGCTGTGCTGGCTCTGTGCTGCTGTCAGAGATCGCAGGCAGTAACAAGTCCCATGTGGGTTTGTGGGATTTTCAAAATAGATGGGCTAGAGCTGGGCTTGTTTTGTGGAGAAAGTTGCAAAACTGAAACTTGACCCCTTGTGCCCAGTCACCCCTGTGTGATTTGTTTCTGTCCCACCATATGTGGCCAAAACTTCCCAAAAGACAGTGCGTTGGACACGAGCAAGTTGCAAACTGGCATACCTACCCATGGTGCATTGCACTGTGCTTTGACACAAGTGCTCCTGGTGAGTATGCACAGCACCCATGCAAGGCACCAAGTATACACCTATGGTGACTTTATGCCAACATAACTTGCATGGGCAAAAGTTTGTAGGTTGACATGCCCTTCAATATGGCATGTCTCTAATTCCCTTCAGATGGGCAGGAAACTATGATAGTTGCTCTGACTGATTTTTGGGCCAAGGCCCCCTGCTTATGGAGCATTCCAGAAGGCTCAGTTCCCAAACCTAAATATGTCCAAGGCTACAGTGGCAGTGAGAAGGTGTGGGTAAGCCACTGAGCATCGCCGAGCTCCCAAGGCGGTAGAATAGATATTCAGAAAGCAGTGGTACTTCTAAATACTAATCATAGACCTGCTTTATAATAATACCCACTACCGCGTGCCCCCCATAATATGTCCCGCCTTCTTCCAATGTAAAGCCACCTGGTAGGCAATGAGATTTGCCCGTCAGGGCATGGATAATTGATGCTGCCCTTCACAAGATGCTTAGGAAGGGAGTAGAGGGTGCTGCAAGAAAAGCACTACCTTTCTTATTTAAATTACAAATAGAAGGAAAAGCTCAACCTAGCCCCCACGACTCAAAACAGGCCTGGCCTTGCTTCCTACACAAAATCATTACTCAAGCTGGAGTGGCTGCACAGTAAGTACAGCCATGCTGGATCAGACCAAAGGTCCATCTAGCCCAGTATTCTGTCTTTCGACAGTGGCCAGTGCCAGGAGCCCCAGAGGGAATGAACAGAACAAGGAATCATCAAGTGATCTATCCCGTTGCCCATTCCCAGCTTCTGGCAAACAGAGGCTAGGGTCACCATCCCTGCCCATCCTTGCTAATAGCCATTGATGAATTTATCTAGTTCTTGTTTGAACCCTAGTCTTGGCCTTCAGAACATCTTCTGGCAAGGAGTTCCACAGGTTGACTGCGTTGTGTGAAGAAATACTTCCTTCTGTTTGTTTTAAACCTGCTGCCTATTAATTTCATTTGGTGACCCCTAGTTCATGCGTTATGAGAAGGACTAAATAACACTTCGTTATTTACTTTCTCCACACCAGTCATGATTTTATAGACCTATCTCACATCCCCCTCATTCATCTCTTTTCCAAGCTGAAAAGTCCCAGTCTTATTAATCGCTCCTCATACGAAAGCGGTTCCATACCCCTAATAATTTTTGTTGCCCTTTTCTGAACCTTTTCCAATTCCAATGCATCTTTTTTTAGATGGGGCGACCACATCTGCACGCAGTTGCCAGTTTGGATGAGGAACTCACCACGTGCCAACTCACTATCTCTGGGTGCTCAGGACTTCCTTAGTTGGCTGAATTAAGTAGCCAGGTTTGAAAACATTTCTCCCCTGGACTTAGACTGTCTCAGTTTCCACCTGAATTCACAAGGGAAATACTGTTCATAGTCTCTGGGGTTTTGTAACTTCATGGTCAGAGTGATCAGTGATGCGCAGGTTCCCAAATGGCATGAAATCCAGCTAGTCAGAGTTGGAGTCAAACTCGCAACAAATACGCTGTGTTACAGCCACGAGCTGCAGGGCGGCATGCTGCCGAGAGATGAACAAGGCAGGCCTTACCCTTGAGTCCAGTGCTCTGTATTGGAATGAATTTACTTTCCAAATCTATACAAATATACATGAACTGATTTCTTTTCCTTACTACTTTTTCCCCTGGCTCCGGTAGTGCTGCTCCTGCTCTGTTGTGACTCACAGGATGGTGCAGAATCTAGATTTGGGATTCGGGCTCCGCTGCTGGTTGATTTGTTGCTGCAGGCTCTCCTTCTCCTTCATCAAACTCTCTATCCGCTCTTCCAGCTTCCTCACTTCTCCGGTCCATTTCTGAGGATGTACAACAGCACAGTCACTATTTGTCTGAGAGCCACTGGCATAGCACTTACAGGCTAGATTCAGAAAAGGACTTAAGTACCTAACTGCTTCTTTAGGCGCTGAAGTCCAACAGTTAGGTACCTCTGCCATTCACAAAATTACCATTCAGTTGCCATCTAACCCTTAAGTTTCTCCTGGTAGCTAGCTAATGAGCTGGTCTGAGACCCAGGTTACGGCTAATCCCCAGTGCGCGTCTCACACGAGCTTGCATGCAGGGCCTGCTGTGGGAGTTGTGCTGTGAGCATGGCTAGCCTGCACAAAAGGCATCCAGGGGAAAGCAGGTGTGTGTCTCTGTCTGTCCCCCAGGCTACCTGGGCTGTGGGAGAGTCACCTTTGAATCCCTGTGCTGCCTCTCTTTGGAGCAGGGACTTGGACCCAGGTGAGAGTCCTCACTACTAGGCTATTGGGGGGTGGGTCTCTCTCCCCTACTGAGGCTGTTCCATTGTGTATAACTACTAAATGGTCATTGGAGCGAGGACATGAACCTGACTCTCCCACCTCAGTGCCCAACCCATGGGGCCAGTGGCTGTGAGGGAGTCACTTGTTTTTCCCAAGAAAGGGCTGACCTGGCTCAGGCACCTACCTCCAGGAGAGGGTTTATGGCTGAGACCCCTCTGCAGAGACAGGCGCCCCCTCCCCCCCCGTCAGGTGCCTAAGACCCAGATCAAGGGAGTTAGGCACCTAAGTACATTTGTGGAGCTGAGCCCTAAGCCTTGCCCCTTTCCTCAGCATTTCGTTCCTGGCTAGCTTAGGCAGATCATGTGCTGGCTTTTGTGAATCACTCTCTTAGGCCCTACACTTCCTGTGCACTGCATGGGGGAGTGTGGGGGCTGTGAATGCCACTGGCTGGCAGGGCACCCAGAAGTTAATCTTGTCACACACAGTATTGCAATGAATCGAGCCCTAACTCCCTTGCCTCATACACTGCATGGTGAACACCTGCCAGCGAAGCTGCTACGCTGGAGGCTCATTACAGCTGAGGTTCTAGCAGGTGACTTGCCGGTTTTGGGTGTAGTGTTAACCAACCTCTGCACCAGCGCTTACAAAAGCAGGGAGCAAGGCTACAAGAGCTTTTGAGGAAAGAAGAAAAGAAAAGAAAAAACCCAGCCACTTCTGCCTGGGATAGGGACTGCTTTTTGCAGAGATGGCGTCCTTCCCTTCTGTATGGTGCAAACAGTGCATCTGTGACTGGTTTTATTAGTCCCTATGTGATAAAAATAATAGCTTTCAACTAAACATGACAGCACAAAAAGAAAGGCAAAGGGAGGGCATGGACCCAAAGCAAAATATCAGACTACCCATTTAAAATGGGGCTAGTGCCTCCCTGTAATCAGAGAAGCCTGTTGGGGAGGTACAGTGCAATCCCCCAGCTTAGAAATCAGCCAGGACACCTGGTAAAAACACTTGTAAAAATGCCAGTGTTTGCGATGGCCACACCAGTAGCCCTGCCTGTTGTGTGTGAAAAGCTCTGTGCTGGAGCCTTGAGTCAGGGGGAACAGTGAAGAAAGCTGGTGGTACAAAAACCTTAAAAGAATATGAAGGTGACCCTCTTGCTAATGATGAGTGTGAATTTCTGGAGGGGTGGGGGGAATCTACATTATAGAGCACCCCTCCCCCACACTGGCGCGTCGGCCTGTCAGAGGCAGGCTAGAGAGATCGGGCAGAGCAGTGCCTTTGATGTGAGATTAAAAGAGCAGTGGCATGCAGGGAGGGGAAATGCCTAAAGAGATCCAGACAATGGTCAGCACACAGGATGTCTGAACACTGGAGCGATAAGGGAAGAGGTCTGGGGGGAGAGTGAAGATGGGGAGATGGGTGGGTTCCAGAACCAGCCCAGGCAGGCACATCTGAACTGAATTTGCAGATGGCTGGAGCAGGGATTGGGGGTGATATGGCCTGGGCGAGCCATTCTTTCTGCATGCTACAGCAATAACCCTCATCCTGCATATGGGCCAGCAGTAGCCCTAACCCAGGCCTACCCCCAACCCCTGCTCTCATCCTAGGGGTAGACCAAGCAGTAACCCTAAACCTAGCACTAGGCCTAATGCTAACCCTAAACCTAGGCTGAGAGGTAACCCTAACACCAACCCTAACCCAGTGCCTAGGCTGAATACTCTCTAACAATAACTTTAATTTAGGTTTACATTTAACCCTAATGCTAATGCTGGGTGTAGGGTGACCACTATTCCTAACTCTAAACATAATCTAGTCCTAACTTTAACCCTAAACCAACACCTAACTCTAACACAAGACCTAGGCCAAGCAGTACCGCTCCCTCTACCCTGAGCAGTCACCCTAACCTAACCCTAAAACTAGACATAGGCTGGAAAGAAACCCTAATCCCAAACCTAGCTATAGGCATAGCCATAGGCCAAGCAATAACCCAAACCCTAACCTTAATCTGTGCCTACTCTTAAACCAGGTTTAGGTGTAGGCCAAGCAGTAACCCTAGAGATACTCCTAATCCTAAATCTAGACTGAGAACTAACCCTAACCTAAAAGTTTACCACAACACTGCATACACTGAGCAGTAACGCGCTAACCCTAACCTGAGAAGTAACCCTAATTTGGGCCTAACTAACCCTAGGCCTAGGCAGAGCAGTAACTTCACCTAATGTAAAATATTCCCAACCCTAACTGCAATTTAGGCCAAAACCTAAACCTAGTCTGAGCCTTAACCATAAAGTTACAGTCAACCTAACGCCAACCTGATCCCTAACCATAATCCAACCCTAGGCCTTAGCGAATCTGCCATATTTCACCTCAGAGGTGGCTGGATTTCAGCGGTGAGGGAAGCAACTGTACTATAGGTAAGTAAAGACTGGAATATATAGTTATATTTTACAGGTTAAATTAATAACACTATAATAATTCAAGATCATTATCATTGTACAACTTTGCCAAATGAAGAGTGATCATTTTATTATTACTTCTAAGCAAAATGTGTTAGGCACTTCGGTAGATGACTACATTAAACAGTGATTTCTTGGATTCTCAGCATTACTTTCCACTGTGTTTATTTTTGCTCCTAACCCTTCTGTGAAATTGTGATGTTTAGGAATTGGGTGACATCCCTTTAAATAGTTTGTGAGCCCTCTAGCGGTGCTCACTGTCTCCAGTCTCAGAAACCACCAGGACTTTGAAGATCAGCAATGTGTGTATGTAGCTGGGCTAGCTGGCTGGGGCTAGGGTAACCAGATGTCCCAATTTTATGAGGACAGTCCCAATATTTGGGGATTTTTCTTATATAAGTGCCTATTACCCCCCACACTCTGTCCCGATTTTTCATATTTGCTATCTGCTCACCCTAGCTGGGGCTAGTTAATAACCACTGTTGTTTGGACCCCGCTGTGCCCATGCGGGTCCTTTACATGACATATGTGCTGTAAGGGCCAAAGACACAACAAACATGGACAAATACAAGGAATGGACAAAGTGGGTATCGGAAAGCACTGTGATTAAATGTTTCCAGCCACGTGACCTAGTCTACTGTCAGAGAGAGCGAGTGAGGGAAGGCGTGTATGTAGACAGAAAGACAGGGTCTGGGGATCAAACCATCTCCCCATGGCTTTGCCTAGGGCCCGTTGGTGAGAGCAGAGCCATAGATGGGTGAAATTCAGCCTTGCACTGACTCTGCTCAGGAGTGAATTCCACCTCGGATCCCTTCTGCAGGGGGGCTGCAGTTCCCCCTGCAGGGCAGGCTGCACTAGCATCACTGGTTGCAGCTCAGGCTCACCCTGTATTTAGCAGCAGTTTGCTGCCTTGCTGCATTAGCGGCCCTTGCATGCCAGTTACCTGCCTGCACCACTCCTGGATGGCGCTCCCAGAGAGTGGTCCCTGGATGCTGCCGTCCCGGCGCAGGTAAACTTCCCCCTGGTCCGTTTCATAAAGCAGCAGCTCCCCCTGCTGCCTGGGCAGATGAACGCTTAGCCGGATCACTTTCAGGAAGATGCCGGTGTCTTCTGCTTTGACCACAGGGATGAAGGTCAGGGTGTAGGCATCGGGGAACACCTGCGGCTTGAACCCTTTCAGAATGGAGTCAATGAGCAGGCGGATGCGGTCCTCCTCTTTGTGCCCACACATGACCCCATGCACGAAGCCGCTGTCCTCTACCCCCACAAAGAGGCTGCCCCCTTCGCTGTTGAGGAAGGCGCATACATACTTCCGGACGTGGTGTTTGAGGGTCACACTCAGGTATTCCCCCCCACCCCGCTTGAACTCCACGTTCCTGGTCTCGCTCCCCATGAAGGCTCCATAGAACAAGCGCTCCTGGCCCACGATCTCCCTCCGAACGATGGCGCTGTCTGACCTGGTGCCGCTAAGAAACGCTGCCGGCCGCTCCACCAGCTTCCGGGCTTGAGGGGGGCCCTTCCAACAAGGGCTGGGCTGGGCTTCCTCGGCCCCCCACAGCCTGCTCTTGCCAGACTGCAAACACCCCAGCACGGGAGACTCTGGGGCGCTGGCACCATTCATCTGTGTGTCACTCTGTGCAGAGCCAGAAAGATTAAACATCACGTGCATGCAGGGACAGACAGCGCAGAGTGGGGGTGACACGGACGACTGCAGCCAGCCTTATAACAACAGCACAAGGGCCCTAGTCATAATAAAATTCAGGCTTTAAAGCACATGGGCCCTTTTATTTAATTGCAATCCTGCCGCAACAAGTGACTACGCTCAGATCTGCCCCCCGTGAGAATCATCAGCAGAGCTGCCGACGTCTTACTGCGCCTTTTACTCCTGTCAGAGCAGCCCAGTGACAGACGAGGGCGTGTAGCCTATGCCTTCTTGTGCAGCATCCACAGAACGATTGACTTCATTCTCCCCCTTGTCCCTGGGCAAACCCATTGAAGGCCTGGGGGTTCCATACAGCGTCTTTGTAACTGGTGCTGATGTGTGAGAAGGAAAAGAGCCCAGCCTGACTCTCAGGTCCTGGGGGACCTGGCAGCGCTGGCAGTTACACAGCTCGTCTTTTTAGCAGTAGATTGAGCATGCCTGAGCTGGAGTCACGGAGAACAAACAAATATGGAGCCCATGATGCCATTCTCAGAGCAGAACTACAAATTACTGTCCTGGATAAAGGAATCTCTGGGTGAAATTCTCTGGCCTGTGTTCTGCAGGGAGTCAGGCTGGATGAGCATACTAGTACCCGCTCGCCTTAAAATCAATGAAATTCTGCCCTGAAATCAAGGGGGATGCCCATTGTGTAAGTCAGTCCACATCACACAGTCCTATCTCCCTGGACACTTCCGGGTCCTTCCCTGTAGCACATTTTCTAATGCATTGGTTACTTAACTGCTCTTGCCAATTCCCCTGGGATCTGAGAGTCAAGCTGGACTCTTTCCTTCCCCCACATTATCATCTGTATAAAGTTTCCACAGGGCCAAATTATACCCTTGGTAGCACAGGGGCAACCCTCATTGTCTCCTAATCCTGCCCCAAAAGACACAGGCCCAGGCCTTGGCTGGACTTGCCCAGGTCGAACGGACTGGAACATGGCAAACAGTTCTGTTGACGGTGCACAAGAAGGAACGGACTCCAGCTGCTCTCTCAGCTGTGCTGGCTCCTCGAGGCTAACGTAGTAACAACTTAGTGATTAAAAAAAGGTCAGCAGCTCTGGCTCTGTCTATGCACAGGGGGTGAACCCCCCTCCCTCAGGCAGGGGGCAGCACAAGGCCTGGCCAGCACAGTCCCTTTGAAGCCCTCAAATGGGTTAAGAGGGATTCTGTGGCACAAGAACCTCGAGCAGAGGCGTGGATGTCCCCTTTGACTGCACTGCTTTCAGAGTGGCAGCCGTGTTAGTCTGTATCAGCAAAAACAACAAGGAGTCCTTGTGGCACCTTAGAGACTAACAAATTTATTTGGACATAAGCTTTCGTGGGCTAGAACCCACTTCATCGGATGCATGCAGTAGAACATACAGTAGGGAAGTATAAATACACAGCATATGAAGAGATGGGAGTTGCCTTACCAAGTGGGAGGTCAGTGCTAACGAGCCAATTCAATTAAGGTGGAAGCAGGCAATTCTCAACAGTTGACATCACTTTTGTAGTGCTAATGAGGCCAATGTAATCAAAGAGGTCCATTTCAAAGAGTTAACAAGAAGGTGTGAGTATCAGCAGGGGGGAATTAATTTTTGTAATGACCCATCCACTCCCAGTCTTTATTCAGGCCTAATTTGATGGTGTCCAGTTTGCAAATTAATTCCAGTTCTGCAGTTTCTCATTGGAGTCTGTTTTTGAAGTTTTTTTGTTGAAGAATTGCCACTTTTAAGTCTGTTATTGAGTGTCCAGGGAGATTGAAGTGTTCTCCTACTGGCCCCCAACCTGAAGCAAATACTCACCAGCAACTACACACCACACAACAAAAACACTAACCCAGGAACCAAACCTACAACAAACCCTGGTGCCAACTCTGTCCGCATATCTATTCAGGGGACACCATCATAGGACTTAATCACATCAGTCACACCATCAGGGGCTCAGTCACCTGCACATCTACTAATATTATATATGCCATCATGTGCCAGCAATGCCCCTCTGCCATGTACATTGGCCAAACCGGACAGTCGCTGCGCAAAAGAATAAATGGACACAAATCAGACATCAAGAATTGTAACATTCAAAAACCAGTAGGAGAACACTTCAATGTCCCTGGACAATTTCCCCCTGTTGATACTCACACCTTCTTGTTAACTCTTTGAAATGGGCCACTTTGATTACATTGGCCTCATTTAGCCCACAAAAGCTTATGCCCAAATAAATTTGTTAGTCTCTAAGGTGCCACAAGGACTCTTTGTTTTGATTGCACTGTATCTCAGCGTGTCCTCTCTCAGAGCATCTCCTGGACACGATGGTTAGGAGAGAAGCCATCCCAGGGTGGATGACCTCTCGAGCTGGCCAGACCGGGAACCCAGCGCTGGCGTTGACAGGGAAGCTCTGCCCCATTCCAGGGCCAAGCCAGGAAGGCGGCATTGCTGCAGTGCAAACCGTGGGGGCCAGGAATCGTGCAGGCAGCGCCGATTGCTGAGACATTCCGCTTCTTAGCAGCTCACACGACTGCTGCGGCCCATGGGATGAGGTGGCTCATCTCTTGGAAGGAGGGAATAACAAAGCGCCCAGCCTTCAGATGGAAGGGTTGCTGGGGCTTAGCTCTCCCCTTGCCCTGCTGCCCTGGTGATCTCAGTACCAAAAGGCAGCATGTCCAGCCCTCCCCACTGGGCCTTCACTGACACTCCGCTAGTGTAGTGCATTGTGCCTGTCACAGCTCAATGCCTGGGCCTACCTCTTGGCACTCCTTAGCACTGGGCGAGGCTCGCCTGCCTTCCCCCACCACCAGGGTTTTCCCCTTCATCACTAGCTCTCTGAGGAGATGTTGCTCCATGTCCGAGGCAACCTGGAGCTGCTTCAGGACGTTCTCCAGGCTCAGCTCGGTGGCCACCTGCACCAAGGCATAGGCCCGTCTCGGTTTCTTCACCACTTCTATGTCATGCCGCTGCAGGGGGAGGCTGGCGGTGCCCAGAATGTCCTTCAGCATGCTGCAGAGAACCTCCCGCGAGTACTTGGGGTTCAGGTTCCCAATATAGAGTGTGTAGACGTGAGTCAGGCAAGGGAGCGCCTCCTCCACGGGCTCTGCCAATGGCTCCCCTGCTGTCTCTTCCATAGGCTCCTCTGCTGATGACTCTGGTGAGTTGTCCATTGCTCAGAACCCCATCCAGCTCCCAGTGTCCCGTCTCCAGGAGTAAGGGTGCTCCAGTTCCAATGCTTCAGGCAGCAAGACTAGCAGTGGCTCTTTTCCATCGTGCTGCCTCTGTGCTCTGCTGCAGGCAGGGCTGCTGGTCGGTGGAGCGCCATGGTAAACCCAAAGGCACCTTTCCGCCTGCGGGAGCTTTTCCAGAGGAACCTGTTGTGGCTGCAGCCCCTGCACAATGTTATATTCTGCAAGGAACAAGCCAGGGAGAGAGCAGATCCTTCGATTCAGCCCTCGACTGCATAGCTAGGCCCAGAGATTCCTTGTTGCAGGCCCAGGAGTTGAGCCAGTGCGGGGTGGGGGGGCGTCACACACAGCTTTAGCAGCAGGGTCCGGACAATCGCTGGGGGCGCTGCCTGCAAACCTGCAAAATAGGAGCAAGTCAGTACAGAGCTGCTGACAAACGGGCCGGCACTGGTCTGTGCAGCGACAGCAGCGTTGCGCCTTCGGTCTCATCGAAGGGAGAAAGCCCAATGCCCAGGCCTCTGTCACGCAACAGTGCCCAGGAGAACATGCAGTCCCCAGGTGTTTCACTCCTAACTAGTCAGTGCACTGAGGTGATGTGGAGGAGTCGAGGGCTGCTAGGGGGAGGCTGAGGATGGCAGGCTGGGCTCCCTGGCAGCATAGCACTCTCTTCCCCACCCCGGGAGTGCCACGGGCAGGGGCGGAGGCAGCGTGGCACAGAGCCCAGAGCTGCTCCCTGCTCCTGCCAGGAGGCTGCCCAAACGCCTCATCACAAGATCCTGCCATGCGCCAACCTGAGCGTGCACAGGGGCTGGTTCCCCGAGCCTGGTCTGGCAGGAGCACAGCAGTGATGGGCGCAGCCGCTGCCCTGGGCCCCACATGCCCTGGCCTGTGTCGAGCAGATAGTGCTTGGGATGGAGACCAAACGCAGCTTAGTGTATCCCCTCTGCCTCCCCCCACCCGCTCCCCTCTGCCCCCCAGGTTTGGGCCTTCCATCTCCTCCTTCCCAACTGCTCTCTCCCCCATCATGCTGCCCACACTCCTTCTCATGCCCTTGCGCTGGGTCCCCGCTCCACTCAACACTCCAGTCCCTACCCTGTTCTCCTGGGCCAGCCCAGCCCTGCTGCTGCCCTCACCGCCCCCTCACCCTGGGGCAGGAATCCCACTGGGGGAGGGGCTCTGTGATACTAGGTACCTCAGGGAGCGTGACCCCATGCCCTGCTAGCCCTGACACTTTCATGGGCCACAGGCCAAAACCCCTCAGCAGTGCCCTCAGGAGTGTGAGCCCTGACTCCCACGTGGCGAAGACCCCACAGCTGAACAGACCGGGCAGGCTGGGCTCAGGGCCAGCCTGATTCCTGATGGGAGGGCACAGGTGTGAGGCTTGCAGGGGGTGGCAGAGTGAGGCTGTTGGGCTGGCGCAGGGCAGTGCCAGGGCCTAGGGGAAGCTGCGGGGTTGTGGAGCTGGAGGGCCCAGCTGAGGCAGGGGAGGAGCAGTTTGCCTGGCTCCCCTCTCTGAGGATGACACAACCTGGGGGTCCTTACGGATCCCAGCAGCCCTTTTCCCTGTCCCCAGTGTGCGACGTCCCTGGGTTGGGGAGAGCAGCTGCTCCAGGACCATGGCGCCACAGCACCGGCTGATGGGCTCCCCAGAGGAGCTGCTGCCAGTGTGTGTAGGGACAACCCTCCCTTGTGCCCTGGGCTGGGCCCCACTGAAGCAGAGGACAGCCTCAGGAGAAAGGCTCCTGCCTCATGATCACTGCCAGGTGCGCACACTGACTGTGGTGAGATTGACTCTGCCAGCCCATTGCAGCCTCTGGTCTTGGCATCCGGTCTGTCACCCTGACGCCAGTAACCAGCCAGCTCGGACAGCGCACTTGGCAAAGGAGGGCAGCGGTAGCCCCGTTATGGGGGAAGTGACTTGACCAAGGGCACCAAGGAATGAATGGTGGAGCTGGAAGGGCACCAGGATCCCTGACTGCAAGACCAGCATCCTAATGTGTGTTTGCAACATGCTGGAGCCACCAGCTGGGTGTGCTGGGCGACGCCTGCGCTGCTTAGCGCGATGCCCACGGCCAGCGATGTTTGTGCTGACTCGGAACAGACCAGGAGGCATCTCCCCACTTTCCAGTGCACTTTGACAGAGAACAGCCAGGACGATGAAAATGCTGCGAAAGGCTTGCTGGGGATATTGGCTGAACTGGCTCCAGCCGCGCTTCCCTTGCATTGAGGGGGTTTGATCAGCACCAACGCTCGTGGGACGCAAATATTCAAGTCACACACAGGAGTTTCCATGGGAACTGACTGTTAAAACTTCTGCACATGAATGCTGGAGCCAGGAGCTCGTGTGCACCCACTGCCAGCGTATCCCTCCAGCCCATCAGGTGCAGCTGAGAGCTGCAAGGACCAGGCCTCCCTCTTAATCCCTTTGCCAGGTCCCTGCTTTCCAGCTCCTCCTCTTGGCCTCACTTTCTAAGCCTTCCCAGCTCCAACCCCTCCTGGCTCACTGGGTTGGCCTCATCCCCATTCCAACAGCGCTGCCAGCCATGGCCACCCATTGGCTGATTCTTGGAAGCACACTGGGCTCGGCCAATGTCACGTCACCTATCACAATAGATTCCAGCACTGTGCACCACGCAGTCTATAATGGATTTACCTCACGTGGCCCTGGGGCAGGGCAGGGTCATTATTCCCATTGTACAGGTGGACAACTGTGGCCAAGGGAGACTAGGGGCCAGATCCACAAAAGGTATTTAGGCTCCCAACCTCTGTCGATGTCCGTGGGAGCTAGAAATCTAAATACCTTTAGATCTGGGTCCAAGTGACTTGCCCAAGGCCACACAGGGAATCAGTGGCAGAGCAGACACTTGAATCCAGGCCTACCCAGTGCCAGGCTCATACTCTGATCACAGGCTACTTACCCGAACCACTAGCCCCTAGCACAGGGCTCCCAAACATTTTCCCTGCAACCACCCCATTTTCAGATGCGTTGCTTCCCATGGCCCCAGGCACACAGTGTGCACGAGCTCACGCTGCATGGCAGGCACCATTTTGTAGAGCAAAATAGCTTCATTGTGTGAAATGGCGACCTCCCCACACTCAGGATTGCCACGCCCCCACCTGCTGATGGAGCAACTCTGCTTGGGGTCGTGACCCCCAGTTTGGGAACCACTGCTTTGAGGCCACTGACCTTCCCCGTCAGCGCCAGCCATGCTGCAGCACCTACAAGGACTCAGCCGGGCCCTGACGGCGCGGCTGGTGGGCGGGGATTCTGGAGACCTAGTTTGAAAGGTACATTAGCTCCGTTTCTCTCTTCGGCTCAGGCTTGTCGTCATAGGCGGTGAGCTCTTCCGGGCCACACAATGCCTGGCACTCTCAAAACGCGAATTAACAATAGTTAAATCACTACTGTAAGAGGACTGTCGGCCCCTCACTGAAACTCAGTGTGTGTCGGGGGGGTTGGTTGCTAGCTCCCAGTACCAAAAGGAAGGGGGAGGGTTGGTGGGAAATCAGGACCCTGAGACTGACAGTCCCAGGAACAATGGGGAGAGGCCAATGCTCCAGGTCAGGGAGGGTGTCAGGAGGCCAGGGGGGTCCCGTCCTCCTGTGAGCAGGAATGGCCTGGAACAGAGTGGGGCTGAGCTAAGGGGAGAGCAGGGGCCCGAGCTGAGCTGGGGAGCAGGGCCGGGCCGGCCAGAGAAGCAGCCCAGGGAGCAGACCTGTGCTGGGAGCAGAGCTGCAGCCACCAGAGCCAGAGGGGCCAGAGAAGCAGCCCAGGGGGCTGGAGGCAGAGCAGCAGCAGCGGCGCTGACAGGGCCGGTTCCAGGCACCAGCGCAGGAAGCAGGTGCTTGGGGCGGCCAAGGGGAAGGGGCGGCACGTCCGGGTCTTTGGCGGCGAGTCCCTCGGTCCCTCTCAGAGGGAAGGACCAGCCACCGAATTGCCGCCGAAGAATGCAGCGGCACGGTAGAGCTACCGCCGAAGTGCCGCCGATCACCACTTTATCTTTTTTTCTTTTTCTTTTCCCCCCGTTGCTTGGGGCGGCAAAAAGGCTGGAGCCAGCCCTGGGTGCTGAGGCAGGGGGGGGCTGGAGCCGGAGCCATCCAGAGCCGTGTGCAGTGAGCAGCTGGGAGAGTGACGGGGGGACCCTGGGCGGTGGGCCCAGCACAGGGAAACGTCTCAGCCAAGAGGCCCTGCAGGCCAGACTTGGGGGGGATCGTAACCCCGACGGGGCGGGGGCGACGCTGGGAAGAAGGGTCCTGCCACCTAGAGCCTGAGGTCGTGTGACCACTGCCAGAGAAAGTGTCTGACCCGCAGCATCCCTGCAGCACAGCCAGGGCCTGGGCAGGGCCTGGGCCGTGTGAGGAACAGACTGAACTGCCCGGACGTTCCAGAGACGCTGGTTGTGATGTCCCCGGGCCACAGAGCGGGGTGACGGGATTTCCTTTCACCTTTCCCATTTTTTCCATATTTTTTTAAGTGATTGCTGTTTAATAAAGTGTATTTGCTTTGAACTGTATGTAATGATCAGTGGATCAGGGAAGTGTGCGGAGTGGAGAGAGCACCCCAGAGTGGGGACACCCTAGCCCTTGCCCTGAGTGACCACGACAAGGTTGGGGGTTGAGCCCCCCAGGAATCCTGGGCCCAGCCTTGTTGGGGTTCCGAGGACTCTGCCACACAGGAGAGTGGAAGGGGAGCCCTTGAGTTCAGGCAGGCCTCTGGGTAAAGGAAGTGGGAGCGAGGACTCAGATCCTTTCGCTAGCCCGTTTCACCGGGGTCGGGTATAAGCCTGGAAAGTGCCCCACAATGGAAGGTCAGCATGTGACTTATCCGACCAGTCACAAAAGACTGTTACCTTTCGTAACAGTTGTTCTTTGAGATGTGTTGCTCATGTCCAATCCATTGTAGGTGTGTGTGCTTGCCACATGCACTGGTGCTGGAAGTTTCTCCCTCACTGGTATCCATAGGGGACCGGGTCTGACGCCCT